TCGATTGCTAAATGTTCGCAACACTTCTGCAGCAAAAGTGTTTGGAATTATAAAGCATATTGGTTGATCTTTTTGGTGCTCATTATTTCTTTTTTTTGAGACTAACTTGGACAAGATTCCTCGGTAGAGAAAAGTCAGAATTTTGCAGTTTAAAATGTTCGAATTTAAAGTCCCATAATTACTTTTGAAAGCTGTGAAAATGGAAATATACGCATTTTTTAAGCTTTCGATATTTCTACTTTAAACTGGAAATAATGTTGTGTTTGCCAACGTTTTCCCTACTGATCTCAATTCTTAAATTTGTGCTCCAAACTTTTTTCACTTTAATCCTCCCACATTGTATCTATTCATCATCAGTATCATTTTTACGACTTTAAGCCTACCATTTTTGCCGATATTAAAACGTCAAATTTTAACTTAAGAGATCTTGAAATTCAAGTTTCGAGTTGAAATTCAATTTTCACATTTGCACCCTTACGTAAAATCCTATTTTTTAAGATTCGGGTTGTAACCCAATTTAATTGAATTTGAAATTTAAATTCAAGCCCACAAAAAAACACGATATAAAAAACAGAAGTTTTTTACAAATTAGAAAATTTGAACGTAAAGATCGAACTTTAATTCAAACGGTCCACGTAAAACTGCAATTTCATATTTCATCTTCTGAAAACAAAACTATCTTTTTTATTTACTTATAAACTCAAATTCTAACTTTAAAAATTTATGCATTTCGGTACAAAATTCGTAATTTTCGCAATTTTAACTCAAATGTTCTCGATGAAATTGCAATTTTAATCTCTGTGAAACTTTAAATTTGAAATTTCGAAATGTACTTAGACGTGAACCCAAATTTGGGTATTAAGCTTAAATGTCGACACAAAATTTGCAATTTACATCGAAACTTCAAAAAACTATGTAATTTAAAATTTTGCAATTGAATTAAAAAATCGGACTTTAACTGAAACTCTCCAACTAAAATTGCAATTTCAATCTCTTGAAGTAAAGCTTTAAATTTTAAATTTCGAATTTGACTTAGATACTCATAAACTGAAATTCGGACTTTAAGCTTAAATTTAAACACAAATTTTATAATTTACAGCAAAAATTAAAAAATTCTGGAATTTAATTTGCAATTGAACTAAAAGATCGAACTTGAAACAAACTTTCCACCTGAAATTGAGCTTTAGACTTTTACTTACCTACATATGAATTCCAAGTTTAAATGTTGACATAAAATTCGAAATTTACACTGTGAACTCGAAGATGTGAGATTTTGCGTTCAATATTTCAACTCTCTAATCATAAAATCTTGCCTTCGACCCATCAAAAATTTTCGAGTTACTGACTTGACTTGAAATTAAACTTGAAATGTTGCCTTAAAAATTAAAAAATCACCTGAAGTTCAAAAAATATTTCTTTAAAATATTTGACCATCTTTGCTCGAAAATTATTTTCGCAAATCGATTTACACTTTTCGAGATCTGAACTTGATCATTTTCAATATTTAATTATAAATGAAAACTTTAAAGTGAAATTCTTCTGCTTGAAGTTAAACTCAACTGTTTTTTGTCTGTTTGAGACAGTTGAGAATATCTTATTTGAAAGTTATTTATTAACATCGTAAAATATTGAACTTCTTTAAACTGTAAATTTGCTTTTTACAGTTTTAGTACTTGAATTAGTAGTCAAAAATGCAACTTAAAACTTAACAACTTTCTATTTTTGTTGTTTCTGGAACTTGACGATTTTCAAATTTATTCAAATGCAAAAAAATGTGAACTTGAAATTGTAATTACAACCCAACATTAGAGCTTTTACTTCACCTTCTTACCTTTTTGAATTAAAAAGCTTACTTTATTAGCAACTTTTGAGATTGGCTTAAAATAATTACAATTAAAAACCTTCGATCAGCTGTTTCTAACATACAATAGAAGTTCGGATCCTGAATTTGAACACTTATAAATGCGATTGTTTGCCTCATACGATTTGTTATACTAATCGAAACCCATCATAACTCGGCGATATCATGCTGGAGAGCCCCATATCAGGAAAACTAAATAAATAATGCCGTATTAACAGGGGCAGCAGAAGATAATGCAATTCGGATTCCCAATGGGGCCGGGAAAAATACTTTGCAAAGCGAATCCGAGCGGAACATTTCAATGCACTCCTATTCAACAAGTTCTCCCCCAATTCGGGCCCCGTCAAAGATACTTTATCTTCCTCATTTTTACTCGTTCTATAAACCGAACGGATTTGGAATTAGGTTACGCAGGTTTGTAAGGCATTAAGAGCCTCGGCTTTGTCGCCGAACATGGACGTGGATCTTTTTATAGAGGAGAACTCTCTTATTGTGAGATCGGACCTATAAGGGGAAAACTGGGATCAGCCTTCCTATTAGGGCGGCTTCTATATCATATAAAAGTCCCGCATAAAATGTATGTCGTCTTTATGAACGCTTTTCTCTACACTCCCTAAAACACCGAACTTATTGAATAATTTACAACAAGCTCTTGAAGAACACCAATTTCCGTGGTGTAAAAACGCTGAATGTGCTCATTCCGTTTCGATGGAATAAGGGCGAATTCGACGCCAGTCTTTGCAACAATTCGCCGCAAAGTAGCACACTTTTTAATCTGTTTTCCCGTATTTTTCGTTCAATCCAGCAAAAAATTCCGCACATATGTCCCAGGTATTCAGGCCCTAAACCGGTTCCCAACGCAAGCTTATTCCTGTTCCGCTTCTTACAGGATTAAGAACGCATAGTTGGCTGGCCAAAACAGTTAGTTACTTTTAAATTCTTCCGCTTCTAGTTTATAGAAGAAAGAAGCTGAAAGAAAAGAAACTTAAGGTGACCAAGGCGACAGACGACGTGGGAGATCCGCAAAGTCTAGCGATTTTCTCAGCGTGAAAAGTTGACAACATTAGGCCCTAAATTGAAATTGGAATTCCGCACAAATTGGGCAACAATCGCCTCAAAGGTCCCGATTGCAGGCCTGCCCTCAAACACGGTTGCGAAAAGGAAAAGTGGTTTGCTTTGAAGGGATTCGACTGGATGTTAAAGATGTTTTTGAAACTGATGAGTTTTTTGGACTTTTTGGTCGGAGGGGAATTATCCCTTTTATTAATTATCCTATTTTTTTTATTCGAATGAATCTAAAAGTACCTTTTTCGATCAGAAGCGATGATCAAAAAGAATCACTTTTCTTTACTATTCATTTGTTTTTCTTTTGCGCACGGACTTTTAAGCACGTGTGCCCAAAAATGAATGTGACACATTGAACGTGTCACTATCATAATATTTTTTTTATTCGAATGAATCAAAAAGTGCCATTTTGCGAACAGAAGCGATGATCAAAAAGAAGCACCTTTCTTTAGCGTTCATTTGTTTTACTTTTACGCACGGACTTTGCCGCACAGTGTGCGACAAAATAAATGTGACACTTTGAACTTGCCACTGTCATTATATATTTTTTAGTATTTTCATTTGAAAATAACCGAAATGCTTTTTTAAGGAATTACGTAGGTTTATCAACAACTATTGATCCTATTTTCAAGTTTACTTACAATTTGTAAATTATATCTTTGTTACAAGTTCAGTCTCATAATCGTTTTAATGGCCTACTTATCTACTTTTGCGATGTTGTCACACGTAAAACACGATCTTTTTAAGAAGCGCAAATGTCATGCAGAGTATGCAACATGCATACACCATCCCAAGACCACAGGTGTTTCAAGTTGAAAAAGTACTTAAAGTTAATTACAAACTTCAAAACACGACATTTCAAAAAATGACATTGCCACAAAATTTTAAATATGAAATCGATGCATTTTATTATTCGTGTAATCTTTCATTCGAATAAAAAATAGTGTTCGATACGAGGGCGAAAATTTGTTTTTCGAACTCCTGAAGGATTGACACCCTCGACTTCGTCTCGGGTGTCAAACGCCGTCGTCGTTCGAAAAACGACATTTTTCGCCCTTGAATCGAAAACTACTATTAAAGTATTTTCATTAAATAGTAAAAAATAAAATAGTAAAAACCCAAACTAAGCCAAACTAACCAACAGGCTTTTTTAATTAATTGCGTGGGTTTATAGAGAACTGTTATCATAATGTCAAATCATAATTTAAAGTTTACTTACAATTTGTAAATTATCATTTTGTTACAAGTTCAGTCTCAAAGTCGTTCAAATGGTCTATTTTTCTGCGCCACGCAAAACACGATTTGTTTAAAGAGCGCAAATTTTATGCAAAGTAATGCATCTTATCCAAACACCATACCGTGAAAGCAGCACTTGAATTTTCAACACTCATTGTTTCACTTGTATATGCTTTCAAAAATACGCCTTTGAAAAATTACAAAAGTTAAAACATGAATATTTTAAAAATGGCATGGACATCAAATTTTAAATATGAAGTTGACGGCTTTTATTTTTGGTTATGTCCATTTGTTATAACTTTATTCCTTTATTCGAATAAAAAAATATTGTTCGATATGAGGGCGAAAATCCGTTTTTCGCCCTTATATCGAAAACTACTATTTTGGAGTGTTTTGCATCTTTAGAGAAGGTCTGCTCGACGCAGCAGCCAAAACTCATCAGATTCAGTGTCGAATGTGTTTTTTTTTAAGAGACTTACTTAACCAAGCTTTACGAGGCTCGAGACTGGAATTTTAACATTAAAAGGTCATCAACATTTTTATGAGTAGGTAACGTTCGACCACTTGGTCCAAACTAAAAAAAAAGACATCAACATTGACAATTTTCCAGCAACGGAACTGAGATACTGCGCCAGCGCGTTGCGTTGGCGCACCACGTCATTTGCGCAACACTGCGCCACAACTCCCAAAAATATCTGAGTTACCCAGCCCTCGTCCGAAGGACTCTCTCTAAGGAAACTGGTAAGTGTATTGAGCTTTTAACTGGCCATATTTCAGTTTATGTCTGTAGCTAGAAAAACCTGTCCAGAAAAAATCTCCTTGGCATTTTCAAATCAAACCGCATTTCCGATAGTTTCCAAACCGAACAAGCTGCGCGCTTTGTTTCCCAAAACTCAGCAACCGTCGGGGTCAAGTCTATTGTCGCTAGGAGGCTTTTGAGGTGAGTTTCGGGCGTACAAAGTCTGAAGACGTCCCGCTGACAACCGGAGATTGTCTATTGTTTGTTTTGTGGTCACGGCCACGTTAGATCTAATGACACACGTCCGACATATTTACCTTTAACATCTGGCTCAGTTAGATGAACAAAGAGTTCCCTACCCAACCGTTCCCGGACACAATGGGAATGGAGTCGAGTTGCCAAACTAATCAAAAATGAACAACTCTTTGACTCGGAAACCGCTTAATTATTTTTCCGGTAGAGATCGCTCATTTTCATCATTTTCATTGTGGGACCGGCACGTAAAGAGGACCGCGCGCGGTCACTGTTTGTGTGTGTGTTTTTGTGCAAGGGATCCATACAGAATCCAAAGGGCCATTGGCAGGCCGCTGATTTTGATAGAAATTACACTTTTGATTCATCGATTTTGTCTCTCAAAAATCGATGCAAAGCTTTCGATCTAAGAGGCTCTTTGATACGCATGTACAGCGCACAGAACATCCCACGTGTTTGAAGTGTAATCACTTTATTGTGCTCTTCGCAGCATTACCCGGATATCAAAATTTAAAGCAAATTAAATGTATGGTTCGAAATTTATCATAAAAAACGATTTTGTTTTCAAACCTTAACCCCCTATTCTGTCAGGAAACATTTGCGACTAAAGTTTTTCAATAAAAGTCTAAGTGCTTTACTTTTCATGCTTTTTCGCCCCTTAAAATTGATAACGTTTAACCAGAACCACCTTAAATAATCGTAAAAAAGTGGAGTGGTAAGTATCAACAAATTCATTCAAAACGAAAATATTGAACTGCGGCCTTTCCTTCAATTTTTTAAATTCTTTCTACAGAATTTGGAATAAAATATTGGAATTAAATACAACCAAAAAGATTTAAAAGCATTCTTTGAACAACGAAAACAACAATACGAAGTTTATTTCAACAAGATCAAGACAAACCAAATAAATAAGATTGAGAGACTTATAACAAAGCGATCTTTAGGGATGGGTAAATGTGTAGCGCACGAGAGTTGGATCAAGAATTTGACAACAATAAACATACCAAATCCGGTAATGTACAGTAAAGTCCGCTTATAATGAACCCGCTTATAGTGAACTTTCGGTTAAAACGAACTTTTTTCCTTTAATTGAAACGTCGTCCATAAAGACTAACGTAATTTTTTACTGGTTATAACGAACCCGTTTATAACGA